GCTTCACCAAACTTTTTGGGAGTTTTACGGGGCGTGGTTTGCAATCCGCCCAGCCAATCAGAAATATAGCTATTTTCTCACAAGAGAGCCGTAAAAAGGTTCTCATGAACTAATTTTAGTACCGGCTCTTTTTGGTGTGAACGCGATAAAAGAGGCTAACGTCCACGCTAGCTTCCACGCTAGCTGCTATATGTTTTGCATTGCGGTGATACTTGAGGCTTGATGTGCTGCGGTGATATGCGAATTCCTTTTTGCATAATTTGCACACAACCGTGCTCTTATCAACGCTTCCATCCGTCCGTTTTTTAAAACAACATTTCCCACTGTTGTTCACCGTGGTTTGTTATTGTCTGAAGTCATGAACGTTAGTTGGTGCTCCAGTATAATCGGTACGCCTGAAACTCATCCAGTGAGAAACGTTCCGCGGTGCAAAAATAAGTGCGATTAAAATGCGTTAATTTTTTTAACGCGTTAATTTTTGTGTAATTAATTAATCTTAATTAACGCGTTAAAGTCCCGGCCCTAGTAAAAAGGTAAAAGGTAAAACAGAGCATTTAATGAAATGTTCTCTTACTGAACCTCTTTGAAATGCAATTGAATACCCCTGCATTATAGCAACAACAACAATAATAACAATAGGTTCCTCGCACTTCGTGCTAGGACGCCGTTGGGTCCTAGCGCTCCGTGCTCGGGCCCTAATAATAATAACAATAATAATTGGGAGGGGGGGCGCGACTGTTCTTATGTTCTCTGAGGGGAGGCTCACCTTCCCACACTTTGAAAACCCCTGCATTAAATGATCGTGAGGATGATGATTAAATTATAATTACAAATCGGTAGTGTGAGCCGGGCTGCATTTCCTCCCGTCAGATGTGATACAAAAACAAACCGATTATTTTTGTAGTTGTAAACTCACGTGGATTAAACCACATTTATTTAGTTAAATAAAAATGAAATACAATGTTTTTTAAATGATTGCATTTATCTTATTCAATGCAGAATATGAATCTATCCGTAATAGTGGGAATAAAAAACGATATGCTAAAGTGTTCAGAGATAAATCCCACTTGTTGTATGTGTTTAAAACATATCTAAATAAATATGTGTGTCCCGGGCCTTAAATGTAATTATGCCTTCAGTTTTCAGATCAAGCCACAACAGTTACTTCTGTATTCTACAGTATAGTTATTTTCACCTCCCGTATTGCTTTCAACCCACCAGCTTTTATGGAGAAAATAAGTTATATAATTATTAACCAGAGGCATGTTTTCTCACTATTTGATGCATAGAAACAACAGGCTGCTTTGTGTGTGTTAGAAGGACAGGGTTCCCGCGGGGTCTTAAAAAGACTTAAAAAGTCTTACATTTGATAATCAGAATTTAAGGCCTTAAAAAGTCTTAAATATGATAAACAAATAATAAGAAAGGTCTTACATATGATTTAGAAGGTCTTTAAAATGATCGGATTTGAAAGGTACTTCTGTGTTGCGATCACGTCTAAATGTGTTTTGGGGGAAATATCCGGGCAGCAAAGTAACCAGTACGGTAATAGCCTTTCAGTTCCCCCCAACAATTTGTATTGAAATAAATCAACATGGAACCAGTAATCACTAACTTTGTTTCCCCCGGCCCCTTATCAGAGAATCCCCAGCTAGTAACCTATCAACCAAGCTTCAGCTAGCGGCAGTCGAATCTACTTGCAAATAAATATGGGGAAGTGTAAGTTCAACCGTATTTGGTGCTTGATTGAAACCAATGGCGGGGAACGTGTTTGAAGCCTGCTGCTCCTTTTGCAAAAAAATATACCTTTTTTTTTGTTCAAATGTAGCATTAGCTAGTGCAGCAGCTCCCGCAATAACATCGGGGGACCTCTGGGCTTGACATTTTTTATTTTGTAAGTAATTATTGGACGTATTTCTTCTTTCATAGCAATTTTCCTTCATTTAAATTCTTGCCGTGAAATAGGTCTTAAATTCTATTCAAAGTGGTCTTAAAAATGTCTTAAAAAGTCTTACGTTTGAGTTGGTGAAACCTGCAGGAACCCTGGAAGGAGCACCCTCTGAGGAATCAGATGTTTATTTAATGAGTTCCATTGTGGCAGCGTCCATCACTGCTCCCCCTGGTGGATCCATGATCCATTGCAGCTGGTGGCCATTATCATTTATCAAGGGGGTGTAACAAGTCTGAGCCGTGTCCACTACGTCACACTTGGGGTTTTCCTTTCAGCGAGGGTCGGCAAAATTAGGTGCTACATCTGTAAACTGGCAATAGAAAGAGACGGAGCTGCATCTATGTGAGAGAGATAACAACGACTTTCCAAGGCTACATGCCTGAGCCACGAGAAACCAGAAACAGAGAGTAAATAATTATGATCTAGGTCGAAGGCTAACAGCTAAGCAAAGATATTCCTCAACACAGAGTATCAGATCAGCTCCAGCTGTGTGTTGGATGGAGATTTGGCGAATTTGGAGTCAACACCTTGAACTTGTTGTGTTCTTCAACCATTCCTGATCCATTTCTGCAGTTTGGCAGGATGCATTATCCTGCTGAAAGAGGCCACTGCCATTAGTGAATACCGTCTCCATGAAGGGGTCAGCATGGGCACCCTAACCGTACCAAAGCAACGCAGCCCCATATACAACAAACTGCACTTTGTGTTCTGACACCTTTCATTCATTCAGCATTAACTGTTTCAGCCATTTGAGCTATATCAGCTCTTCTGTTGGATCGGACCACACGGGCCAGCCTTCACTCCCCATTGAGCCATGATCCTGTCGCCGGTTCACCGGTTTTCCTTTCTTGGACCACTTTTGGTAGGTACTGACCACTGCAGACTGGGAACACCCCTCAAAAGCTGCAGTATTGGAGATGATCTGACCCAGTCGTTTCGTCATCACAATTTGGCCCTTATCAAAGTTCCTCACATCCTTATGCTCCACCTTTTTTCCTGCTTCCAACACATCAGCTTTGAAGACGAAGTGTTCACTTGCTGCCTAACATATCTCACCCACTGACAGGTGCCATTGTAACGGGATATCAATGTTCTTCACTTCACCTGTCAGTGGTCATAATGTTATGGCTGATCGGTGTATGGCAACCTAGCCTTTGACATAGCCATTATAACTTTTAAGAATAAGTCTCTCTTCCTTTCCTGTTACTGGGTTGCAGTTAGGCATGGCTAAGCAATAGCATTAATAACTAGGGCTGTCAGTCGATTAAAATATTGAATCGCGATTAATCGCATGATTGTCCATAGTTAATCGCGATTAATCGCATGATTGTCCATAGTTAATCGCGATTAATCGCATGATTGTCCATAGCAGGGTTTCCGTTAGCCGGTAATTACCGGTTTTTAGCTGGTACAATTGAATAAAAACCGATAAATTCAAAACCTGCCAGTCAAAATGTCCGATGCTCCGATCGATTAGCCGCCGATCATTATCGGCCAATATTCACTCTTAATAGTTTGATCTGTGCTCTCTATAAAGGCCGATCAGGAGAGCTGGATCTGATCAATATGGACATAAACGCGAGTGAAGTATAACCGGACAAGAGAGAGAGATCAGATCAGCTGCTCCATAATTACATGAAGCCCCGGCTGCCCCGCCCACTGTTTAGCATGCTGCATGAGAAACTGACGGGCTGTCAGGAGAGAGAGAGAGGGAGAGGGGAAAAGAGAGGATCCGTTTCTCCCGTGTTATTATTCAAAGTTAATGTAAACTTTTGAATAATGTACTTCATCTACTACAAGTAGTTTCTTTGAATGTAATAATTATGTTGTTTGTTTGTGGAATCATTTAGTGAAAAATGAATCTGAATTTTTCGATCTGTTACGATTATAAACTGAAGCAATATAAAAATGAGCCCCATTAACTGAGTTTTAAACGTCAGCATATCCGGTCCTAGTCCGGTAATTACCTGCTAACAGAAACTCTGCTACACCATTCTTATTATTATTATTGAAACATGACCGGTATGTTTAAAATTTGTCCGGTAAAATAAATTCTGTTCGGACATTTGACCGGCGAGAAAAAATCCTAGCGGAAACCCTGGTCCATAGTTAATCGCGATTAATCGCAAATTAATCGCACATTTTTGATCTGTTCTAAATGTACCTTAGAGGAATATTTTTCAAGGTTTTAATACTCTTATCAACATATGAGTGGACAAATATGCTTTATGCAAATGTTTGTTTATTATCATTTGAACAATGACAAATATTCTCATGAATATTAAACTTCAACCTCTGAACATTACAAATATTCGTCTCAATTCAACCTGGAACCTCTCTCATTCAATAATACAATACAAAGTGTGTGTGTGTGTGTGTGTGTGTGTGTGTGTGTGTGTGTGTGTGTGTGTGCGTGTGTGTGTGTGTGTGATGGATCGTTGGAGCTATGTGCAACTCAAGGCATATGCTCGAACGGGAGCTGCCTGGACGCTGCAATCATGTTGCGCGCACTATCCGTGCTGAGTGTGCTGACTTTTCGTACAATGTCCCACTGTCTGGCTACCTGCATAAAGTCAAGTGCTCGGCGAAATGTCGCTCCTCTGTTTTCATTGAAACAGCTCCTTATATCCGTTAGCGCAGCTAACTAGCACCAGATGCTAACAACAACAATACACCACCCTCCCGGTCCTCCCGATGGCCAGTCGGTGCCTGCCGGTGAGCGTGGAAGTGTGGTCTGCCGCAAGCAGGCAGGAGGAGCGGGGCTGTCAGCATCAGCTTGGAGATGGTATTTTAAACTCGATGCGCTCTGAAACTACGGGGCGGCCGAGGACAAAAAATACACATGCGTTAATCGCGTTAAAATAATTAGTGGCGTTAATTTTTATTTGCGTTAACTTGACAGCCCTATTAATAACATAATAAACAAAAAAGGTTTTATATGATTAAGATCAAAATGATACATTATTTTTTTCTTGCCAGCATTTTTTGTCAATCTTGAAAATGTTGTGTCTTTCTCTAAGCTCTGTTCTGCTTTCTGCTGTCTCCTCAGATGTTGGTTTCAAAGTTGGAAGAAGTTCAGCAATATCCCACTTTGTGCTGCAGATCCATTATGGAGATGTCAGTGCTTTCAGGGGTGAGTCCTAGTTCACACATTGTTGCATAGAGATTGTTGTTCATGTTATCAGGTACATCTGATCGAGTAAAGGTCCGGAAAGATTCATGAGTGCTAAAGTCATTAAGGGTCACTGCGTAGTGAATGATAAGCCAATGGCGAGTTAAAATGTTGAAATGTAGTTGGATTATTTTCCCCTAAAACTAAGAGGAAATGTTTTATTTCCTAACTTCTAATATATTTAAAAACATTTTTATTTTCACTCACATCTCACATCATCAGTGTTGTGCAGTAGTTAGTAGTTGAAATACATTTGTCTATTATGTGGTGGTGGTGTAGCTTTTTTCTGAATAAAAAGCTTATCAGTAGCTTAGCTCTTTTACTGATCAAAAACATAATCCACTAAAGCTACATTATCCCAAGCATATTAAGTGCAGCAAAGCTTTCTGCTGTGCTCCAAAATAAAAGGGCTAAGGAGCAGTAAGTGCTTATGAAGAGGAACAATTGTATTTCAAGGTTTTAAAGATGAATTTTTTTTATTCTACAGACCATCATAGAGATTGCTCAGGACTAACCTTACAGATGACATCCAAACCGTGAGTAATATTAATCAAAAGCATGAACTGTTCTGCTGAATACTGGTAGCAAAAGCAATGGCGTGGGTAAATATTTTGAGGAAGTCTTAATGTTACCTAAGCATGCATAAAAAAGTAATAAAGATACAAAAAATTATTATAATAAAAAAGTTACACATTTTACAAAATATACATCCTGTAACAGTTTCCACTTGGAACGCAAATTTGACCCCCTGAACATATGTGAAAACTTATTAAAACTTTGCACGCTTCTTCGTAGGGGTGTAACAGTATCCGTATTCATCCCGAACCGTCACGGTTCTGACGTCACGGTTCGGCACATGCAGTCACACGACGAATACGCCTTTTTTATGAAGGGAAAAAAGTCTGTCACTCAGGGCAGTATCCATTGCACTATATATAATCCAGGGGGCGGTATTGCGCCTGAAATCTGTTTGCCTGCCGCCCTTAACCTGTTACGGCCCCTACACACGGCGGCGTGCGTTGCCGCTTCAACGCTTCTGCCCATTCACTTTGAATGGGGTGACGTCACGATTCGCCAAACTGCATTGTGGGAGCAAAGCGTAGCTTCTCTCGCGGTGCTCGCTGCAAAAGTAGAGCAATGTTCTACTTTTGCCGCCTCGACGGAGGCGTCAGCCAATCAAATCCCGCGTATGCAAATCTGTAAGCACAAGCGCTAGCCAATCAAACCGCGTGTATGTTGGGAGAGCCAGACCGCAGTTATTTCCCATATGTCAAAAAATGGAGGAGAAAATTATCGTGGCGGTAGGGAATCACCCGGTACTATATGACCAGTCCCTCTTTACATACAGGGATACAAACCGGAGGAGCCAGGCATGGGGGGAGGTGGCAGAGACAGTGGGTGAAACTGGTAGGTTTTCGCCTGTTTGGGGAGTTTATAGCCAGTGTACTTCGTTTGAATGGACAGCTAGCAAGCATAGACAGTATATTTAGCCAGCATGGATGTAGCATGAATGCTTTGCTTTGTATGTCCGGGGCGGGACATTCATGTGATTGGTTGTTGGTCGCGTTGTTCGTAAAAAATCCCCAAGCTTCAGACACGCCCACCGCCAAGCGGTAACGCATGCCGCCGTGTGTAGATGTCAGTGCTTTCAGGGGTGAGTCCTAGTTCACACATTGTTGCATAGAGATTGTTGTTCATGTTATCAGGTACATCTGATCGAGTAAAGGTCCGGAAAGATTCATGAGTGCTAAAGTCATTAAGGGTCACTGCGTAGTGAATGATAAGCCAATGGCGAGTTAAAATGTTGAAATGTAGTTGGATTCTTTTCCCCTAAGACTAAGAGGACATGTTTTATTTCCTAACTTCTAATATATTTAAAAACATTTGTATTTTCACTCACATCTCACATCATCAGTGTTGTGCAGTAGTTAGTAGTTGAAATACATTTGTCTATTATGTGGTGGTGGTGTAGCTTTTTTCTGAATAAAAAGCTTATCAGTAGCTTAGCTCTTTTACTGATCAAAAACATAATCCACTAAAGCTACATTATCCCAAGCATATTAAGTGCAGCAAAGCTTTCTGCTGTGCTCCAAAATAAAAGGGCTAAGGAGCAGTAAGTGCCCCAAGCCTGTTTTTCAGGTCTCAGGCTCGAAAATGACTTTTCTAGAACAAATGACCATAACTAATTTTCATTTTCATTTTCAAACCTTTATTTATACAGATAAATCCCATTGAGATCATTGATCTCTTTTCCAAGGGAGACCTGCTCAAGTAGTTCCACATTAAACATAAAAACATAAATAGAACAACAAAAGGACATCATACAGCATCATTTACATAATTATCCACATAAACAGCAGGGTTCGTACGGTCATTGAAAACCTGGAAAAGTCATGTAAATTCAAAATGCAAATTCCAGGCCCTGGAAAAGTTATGGAAAACAATATGTTTCCCAAAGTTTTGGAAAAGTCATGGAAATGTAACTAAAGTTGCGTCAAATATAATTTACATTTTATCTAATCGTCGAAATAATCTGCGGTCGCGAGCTGTTACAGTATGTGCCATCATGACGCGCATGGTGTTATTTTTTAATATATGAAGCGCGAGCTGTGTGCTCGAGTCTTCCTGCCTGTCGGGCCGGCTGAACTCTGCTGCTCCGGGATGAGGGTCAGCTACATTATCTGCGGTGTGTTCGTTAACTGTGGCACAGACTGCACCGCTGCTGAACAGCTGTTCAGGTGTTCAGAGCAGAGCGGCAGAGCGTGATGTGAACTGAAACGTTTTTCTGTCGCAATATCATTTAAGGAATCGTTGAGCTAGCTAGCTAGCATACATTGTCACTATCTGCTAACGTTAGCTTTAGCCTTCGTTTTCTAATAGTTTTTTTCATAGGCTATAAACAGAGGTGGTATAATTATAGATATTGTGCTAGAGTAAAAGTAGAAGTACTCATATCTTGTACTTTAGTAGAAGTACTCAGATCTTGTACTTAATAAAAGTAGAAGTACTCAAATCTTGTACTTAATAAAAGTAGAAGTACCAGAGTGTAGGAACTTTTATCACAGTAAAAGTCCTGCATTCAAAATGTTCCTCAAGTAAAAGTAGAAAAGTATTACCATCAAAATATAGTGAAAGTAGCGACAGTAAAAGTAGTCATTGTGCAGATTGGTCCATTTCAGAATAATATATATGATGTGTTTTATAATGATTGATCAAAGTGTTCTCAAAGCTGGTAAAGGTGCAGCTAGTTTGAATGACTTTGTATACTGCAGGGTAGCTTGTGAATTTACTCCAGGTGGAACTAAAGTCTGATTTAACACTTGATTAGATTTCACATCATTCATCCAGATCTGTAAAGTAACTAAAGGTATTAAATACATGTAGTGGAGTAGAAGTACACAATGTACCTCTGAACTGTATTGGAGTAGAAGTACACCATGTACCTCTGAACTGTAGAGGAGTAGAAGTACACCATGTACCTCTGAACTGTATTGGAGTAGAAGTACACCATGTACCTCTGAACTGTAGAGGAGTATAAGTACACCATGTACCTCTGAACTGTAGAGGAGTAGAAGTACACCATGTACCTCTGAACTGTATTGGAGTAGAAGTACACCATGTACCTCTGAACTGTAGAGGAGTAGAAGTACACCATGTACCTCTGAACTGTATTGGAGTAGAAGTACACCATGTACCTCTGAACTGTAGTGGAGTAGAAGTACACCATGTACCTCTGAACTGTAGTGCAGTAGAAGTACACCATGTACCTCTGAACTGTATTGGAGTAGAAGTACACCATGTACCTCTGAACTGTAGAGGAGTAGAAGTACACCATGTACCTCTGAACTGTATTGGAGTAGAAGTACACCATGTACCTCTGAACTGTATTGGAGTAGAAGTACACCATGTACCTCTGAACTGTATTGGAGTAGAAGTACACCATGTACCTCTGAACTGTAGAGGAGTTGAAGTACACCATTTACCTCTGAACTTTAGAGGAGTTGAAGTACACCATGTACTTCTGAACTGTATTGGAGTAGAAGTACAAAGTAGCAACACATTGAAATACTTAAATAAAGTACAAGTATCTCAAAATTGTACCCAAGTATAGTACTTGAGTTTATGAACTTAGTTACTTTACACCAGTGGCTATAAAGATAGAAAGACTAAGCCTTGCACAGAGGCATGACAATACATTTTCAAAATGCTCAACAGTGCTGCCAAAATTATAAACTGACTGCTACTGTACACAATTAAAATAAATGCTTTTATATATTTCTATTAGATGTGACTCTTTAGCATTTCTGTTATTATTACCTGCTGCTTTAGTTTTTCTGACTGCTAACATCCTCTGTTATTCCTCATTTTAAAGCTGATATTCCGTGGGGTCGGGGGCTCGGGTCCTTGTCACCTTTTTCATACCTGATGAGTTTGCATCCCTGACTACAGTTGCTTTAGCGTGTAGAAGCTAGTAAGCCTACTATTTGATTTGTTTTAGATAGGCACTACATGTTTCATATGCAGACCTTATTTTCCTGTTCCATGTTAAAATAAACCATTTTCAGTGGTCATTTTTTCTTTGGTCATGGAAAATTAGGTAAAGGTCATTGAGAAGTCATGGAAAAGTCATTGAAAATCATTGGTGAAAAAGTGTATGAACCCTGAAACAGGTACCAATAGCTTCCGATTGACTAGCATCCAACCGAGCTTTAAAAACATTTAGTGGCACCAGATTGTTTAGTTTCCATTTAATTTGCAGACTATTCCAAGACAGAGGAGCTGCGCATCTAAAAGCTGTCTTCCCTAAGACAGTCCTAGTAACTACACTTCTAAAAGGGGAAAATTAATAATCTGTTTTCTCAAAGTAATGATAAACCTGTGAGTTGGATGTAGAAAAGTCAGAATCAATATAGATGTTTTTTATTTTAAAGAAAATTCAGATTGAACAGTAAAAAACTAAATTATAGTGTCCGTCCACATTTTTTTTTTACTTATAGTGAAAACCACCCTTGAATGATGGGATAGTAGACAAAAAGCTGTAGGAATCCTAACTATAACATATAATAAGTACCCTGTATCAAGATTGATGCAAAACAAGTGAAATTTGACCTTTTTAGAGAGGTTTAGAAAAAAAAACCCACCTCTGGGGTCATTTGGGTGTATTATTTATCTCTGGAACCCATTGGTCGATTTTGGTCATTGACAATTCTTTTGAACCGTTAGAGCCAATAGAATCGAGAAGAAGTTCCTCAATCCATCTAAACATTTCCATTGAGGAGTTAGAATGATGCGCTCGCAGCTTGCCCAAAACTGGAAGCTCCGTCACACTCTATTATGAAAAATGCGATTATTGCCATAAATATGATGATGGATTATCAGTAATCATTTCAAAGTAACACAGAGACATTGGATTAACCTTCAGCAGCGTTTATATGCGTTGTAATGCCATTGAACACAACTTTTAATTAGAAAACAGCAAAGGTAAGACGTATTTGCCGTTTTGGCTCCGTAAAGTGAAGTTGTGTGTTGTCTTTGC